AGACTTGGGATTTAGAGGGTCCCATGATCAAGTCTTGTGGTACCAAAGGGAGTTAGGAACCTAGAGGTTTGGTGTGTTTGGCTGCTTGTGCTTGTGGGGAGTGTAGCCGATCCTTAAGTCCAATCTAACCCGGGGAGGGGAATTGGGAGAAATTTGGAAAATTGTGAATGGATGGCTAACACTCTGTTGCTCATGTAGTGAGTAGTTGAAACTAAGTAGGACCAAATAGAAGCTGGTACCATAGGTGGGAACCTTGGCAAGGGAACTTAGCAAAAGTCAAGGCAGTGTTGGACGGATAAACGAGGTAAGCTGGCAAATTGGAAAGGAAAAATTTGTGGTTTACACAAAATCATACTCAATTTGTAAATTCCATAGTCTAGAAAGTTGGTATAAGTGTAAAAATGAATATATATGCAATATCATCAACTTCATTTAATAGTTATAGAATCTTTTGTGTTGGAAGTCAATTATTTCTATATCAGCTTTTACAACTTCTTTTAGCTAAAATGTTGCAACTTTTATCCTTGCAGCATTCTCCATATAAATTCTCTATTAGCCATTTTAGTGTCCTCCAGCTATTCTCTTTTGTTAAACCCATAAATTCCTTTTTACTCTGCATCTTGAGAAGGGAAATTATTTCCCTTTTCCTACAACTACTTTGACCACTTGAGATCTTCTCTCAACTTCTCACTTATTCATTACTACCTTTAGCTCCTTGTATCCCTCTACTTCTAAGGTATATATAAGGATTTTTATGATTTCTTTGTGATTTGTAGTCTCTATTCTCCATCAACCCTCTTGCTGAAATCCCAAAGGCCTATCTAGGCTGCTTCCACTTTATCCTTTTTTCTAAAGAGCTCCTACTAAACTCCTCCCCTTCTGCAAGATGTCAACTCATCTCCTCTAATAACTAAGGTGTGTTGAATAATTGAACTCACCCATTCACCCATGTGTCCACACAATATCCCAAATCTAATGTGGCTCATTTGGGCAAGTCCCTCCAAGAAATGCAGAAGTGGCTACAGTAAGGGAGGCTAGGTAGATCCAAAGCTACCCAATTCACTCATTGGCTAGAAAGACCAACTAGTTGAGCCGAAAGCCCTAATTCCTTATTGTGCTGCATAAAACCACAAGCCAGAAGATGCAAGAGAGGCTGAGGAATCCTCTGTGAGAGAGGATGATGCAATGCATTTAGAGGGGAGGGGGCCACAAGCCACCCTAGAACTAGCAGGATGGGGGCTCTAAACTATTACCCCCAATTCCCCCATTATTATACATTCTTGTAGGAAAGAGACTAAAAACACTCTTTTATTACTCACATTTGCTTAGGGCCATTGCATTGCCACTAGCAGGCCATGAGGCACTCTCTTTTGCTCCAAATTTTCCCTCAAACTCTCTCAATTTTCTCGAGAACACTCTGAACATTTGACTCCTCAAGAACACTCTAAGATTCAAAATCACAGTCCCAAGGCCACTATGTTGCCATTAGCTGGCCATGGAATGCTCACACACAGCTCAAAGCCATTATATTACCACTCCATCTAAAAAACACTCTTTAAACATTATTAAATGTTGTTAAACACTTTTAAATGCTTTAGGAAAAGGAGGGCTTAACCCTTTCTGTTGCCATCCTCTCCTAGCCAAATTTCCTAAAAATCTTCATTCATGTCTTAAGCGCCCAGATCGCAAAGGAATATTTTGGGTGCCCTAAACCCTAAACCCAAGACGACTTGCTTTAGTGCCACGTGGATTAAAACATGCCTTTAACCCTATAATTATTACTATCTCACTAATTAATCCCACTTAGCCTATTTTTTCGGGCACTCTTAGAACCACAATTCTCTTCAATAGATCTCTGCCAGATACAAGTCTTGAGGAGCATTTCCAGCGTTCTCCTCTCCCTTGCTGATGCTGTGAATTCAGTACTGGATATGAGAAAGAGCTGAGAAACAACTTAAAAGTCATCTCCACAGCCATTTTCTTTCTCAGCTTGCGCAAAAGCTTCCAAGGACAAGCTAACCACGAGAGCCAAAACGATTGAAAAAAGGATAGCACGGCTTATGCTACCTCGCTTGCCCAAAAGCCGAGCCTGGTTTCCACAGGCGCTTTCGGACCAGCAGCACGGCCTCCTCGTTGTCCTGCATCATATCCGACTCGGCCGGGAACTCCTGGACCCAAGCATCCCAGTGCAGGGGCCCAAGGTACTTTTTCACCTGATCCACCATCACGGGCGAGTCCCGGATGATAACGTATCCCATGGGACGAAGCAGCCTGTCCATCTCAAGGAGGAGATCCTCGACGCTGCAGCCGTGGGAGTCTACGTCCGAGAGCACGTCCCACGCATGCAGCAGGTCGTAGGTACGCGGGTACGTAGAAAATGACTCGCACCTAGCATCAAAGACCCCACATTAGTGCACCGGTGCAACGCTCGAGCTGATTACCAGTCGTGATACGAGCCGATGAGTCCACGATCATAGACGACTTTGAGCGTGCTTGGGCCGCTGGCAGGCACTACGTTCATCACCCACACCGGCTTGTCCTTGAGCGCAGCCGCAAAGCCACCCAGGTGAGCTTTCATATCCATAACGTTGCGAACGCTGAAATCTTTCACTAGCTCGAGCTTCTCCCAGTACACCTCAACCTTGTCCTTCCATGCAGCCTAGCAAAGCAAACTCCAATCACCGTGTCAACAAGCTAGCGAGCGAGATCTGGACAAAGACCATACCGTGTCTGCCTCAAAATCCCTGTCGCTAATGTGTAGCTCTTCCAGCCTGGGCGGAGGTGCAACCAGACGTTCGGGCCACGGCAACAATCCGCTGCCTCTCATGGCATCGTTCTCTGTTTAGCCAGCAAGGTGGCGGACGAGTGAGAAACCTGGCAAGGGGAAGCTGTGTTTATACGTACGCTCGGTCAGTGGCACAAGGCAAGCTTTCATCTTCACTTGCCATGCTGCGTCAGGATCATCCTGTGGACTGCACAGAGGAGGCCTGGTGTTCCTCGGCCGCTCCTTGTAACATTCGTTGGTCAGTGGCTTCATCCAGATCACAGTTTGGCCCTCCTTGGCAGCAATGGACCAGCACATTCGGCTTGTCAAGCTGGTCATCTCGTCCCATTCCTTTCTGTCCTCGTCGTCGTCTCGGTAAGCCGCTGGTGACGACCACGCAAAGTATCCCCCCGGTCTCAGCACCCTGTCCACTTCCAACAGCAGAATGCCATCCCGCTGAGCCCAGTCGATACGGCACCGAGAGCAATGCGCCAGATCATAAGCTTTACTCGGAAAAGGCAGCCTCATGGTCCCGAGAACACCCAAAGTCGATGGAATGCCTCGCTCCAGAGCAAACTGGATCTGGTTCTCGTGCACGTCGTTTGGGGCCATGGACATGGCAAGGATGTCGAGCGGCAGAAGGTAAGCACCAAAGCTTGCGACGCCACAGCCGACATCTAGCACAGTCCGGATCTTCCCTTTGCTGCTGAGGTCTCCGTCGGGATTCTTGAGCATCTGGGAGACGTCGAGACGTTCATCGCTACAATGGAGATGAAGAGTGTGCCTACCTTTCCAAGCCCAGCAATGTACTTATCAGCGCCATCGTGGAAGTGAGTGCCTCCTCCTGGGAAGATGACTTTGTTTCCCTTGATCACCATCCAGTGCTGGTCAGACTTTTCGGATGCCAGAAATGTGTGAGGCACGTTCGCACGCCACACTTGATCTCGGCTTGCAGGCCACTTTATCGGCACCTGATCGAATAACACAGTCTCACTCGTACAGAGAGAAACTCCTCGCATACCTTGTAGTTGGCTGGAGGAGGCACCAAGCAATTGATCCGCCTGTCGGCAGGAGGGCAGTGCCGCTCGTAGTGCTCCATGAGCGTGTAGTTTGGTTTGTTCTTCAAGTAAGCTAGCATTGTCCGGTCGAGGCACGGGATTATCTCGGTGAACTTCTCGTCACACACCTGCATTGTAGGAGATGTGAGCTCAAGAAGCGTGAGACCTTAGACTTTGCACTGCCGTACGTACCAGGAAACTTTGCACCGCCGTGGTCTCCACCACATCGTCGGACTGTTCTTCATCCGCTAGCTTATGGCTGTGGATGCCGTCCTCCTCCACCTCCTCCGAGTGGCTGGCAACGCCATCTTCTTCTTCATCAACAGCGGCAGTAGAAATGCCGGTGGTGATTGCTACCTTGCTGGAGCTCCTGGGCAAATCCCCGTGGCCTTGGCCCTGCTGGACGGAGTGGAGGCGAGATCGGAGGAAGAGGGTGTAGTAGACGGAGCAGACGAGCACCGCGAGGAATGTGAGGGAGAGGAGGGTGCGCGTGCAGTGGGCGGGATCGCTCCGGCTCCTCATGGCGGGCGCGGGTGTGGATCTGGCGCCTGGTGCCGCGCAAGACCTACATTCCTTCGTACCTTACCAGGAGCTCCGTGATCCCTTGCTTTGCTCATCAATGGGCATATTCCATCCACGATCGCCACTTTTCGTTTAAAATAACCTCCACCTTTGCATTAGTCCTGTTGGATGCAAACCTGAGCATCTTCATTCATCTCTTGCCTATAGATGCATCTTGGCTGGGTGGTGAACGTTGTGGTTGTTTTATCTGCTAGAAGTTCATACGTTTTCTCTCGTCCACTCAATGTTGGTCGCTCGAAATTCGGCTATGTGGTTTTGTCAACTCTGGCGTATAGAGACGGGGTAAAAATGCCTCCACCTGGAATCTCTTATTCCTAGTGAGCGCAGGACAAACAAGGCCGGTATATTCATATATCCCGGCATCGCAATAGAGATATTCAGTGTGTATGCTCTCGCCAATGCCGACGACTCGTTGTTTTTGGTGTTGTCCCCTTGGCCGCTTCCCCCTTGTTTGCCTTTATGATCTTGCATACGCGCTATATAAATTCCTCGAGCGAGCCAGCCGGCTTATAGCTTAACCACACAGCTCTAGAGAGATCTCTTGTGTGGATATATGTGATTTACAACTTTAGTTGCGAATTGATCCATCGAGAAAGATGGAAGCGTCGGCAGTCCATGAGCTGCTGGAGGAGCTTCACCCGTCGCTCCCAAGAAGCAGCAGGATCTGCGTTGTCGGGGGAGGACCCAGCGGTGTCTCCGCAGCGTATGCGCTGTGGAAGCTGGGATATGAGCAAGTCACACTTATTGAGAAGCACCACACCGTGGGAGGAATGTGTGAGAGCGTGGACATCCAAGGTAATATACATGCTTCAACACTAATCAATCACTGGTGAAATTTTGACACGGTTGGCAGGCCGACCGTATGACTTGGGTGGTCAGGTGATTGCCCGGGAGAGTGCTCCCAACATCAAGCATCTCGCGCAAGTGGCCAGGGTTGGCATGGAAGACATGGCGGCTCACAAGCTCAGCCTTGTCGACTCCAAAACTGGCACGTACCAAGATCTTGGGATAGCCAGAGACTACATCTCCATGATCCAGATCACTCTTGACCTTCAGGTGATTTAACCATGCATCGAGGGGCTTTGTTTTGATAATAGATATTGTCTCTGATCAGGCACAAGCAGCATCAACTGGTAAAACTGGAGTTCACGCACTTAGCAGCCTTGCACCGGAGACAGCAGCCGAATTTGCGGCCAAGCACGGCATGGGAAGAATACCAGAGGCTGTTGCCACTGGTTACACGGCTTCTGGATATGGCTTCCCACACGAGCAGGATATCCCCTATGCGTATTTGCACGAGTTCGTTCGCACCTCAATGTTTGGGAAGGTTTGCAGGATCAAGGGCGGCTACACCGGCTTGTGGCAAGGAGTGGCGAGGCTGCTACCTCGCGTGCGATTGAACACCAGAGTCACGGAGATCCGGAGACGAGGATCCGGCCGAGGAGTCACAGTTTGCACTTCAAGCTCGGACGGGGGCGAGGAATCAGAGGAGCTCGAGTTCGACAAGATCGTCATCTCGGGAGCGATACCCTTTGCTCCACCAGGCGCGGAGCTAATGACACTTGGAGACGAAGAAGCCAGCCTCTTCAGCAGGGTCCGGACTATGGACTACTACACAACAGTTCTGGAGATCTCGCGATTCGAGAATAAATTCCCGGCCGGATTTTACTATTTCAAAGACAATGTTGAAGATGCAAAGGAGATTGGTCACCCGGTGGCCATGCAAAAATTCTATGCCGACACCAACATCTATCTCTTTTGGTCGTATGGGAATGCTCAAGTCAGCCAGGAGATGATGACCGCGCTGTTGCTCCAGGACGTGGCACGTATTGGTGGCACTGTGGAACGCATTGTCTTGCAGAGAAAATGGAACTACTTCCCCCACATTGGCTCGCAAGGTAAACACACACTACAATTTTCTATCCCCGCATTACATGTTTCTTTCTGGTTTCACAGATATGAGATCTGGATTATACGACCGGCTTGAATCGCTACAAGGATGCAACGATACTTACTATGTAGGAGGCCTGTTTGCTTTCGAGCTCACGGAGCGCAATGCGGCGTACGCGATGAACCTCATCGCCAAGAACTTTGGAACGCCCGCAAAAGTCAAGGTGGAACTTTTTCTTCTGCGTTTCTCAGCTTTAAGCAAACTTTGCAGAACTTGATCACGGGCGCAGCGATCAAGCTTGATGAAGCCGAGGGTGGCGACTTGGAGGTGACGAGTGAGGCCACGGGCGGCGAATTTCCCGACCTTCCATGCCTGGATTCTTACCTCCACTTCTATGCCAAGCACAGCGTGGCGAGGGACAAGGTCCTCTACACCTGGCTGGACGACAAGGGTGACGAATCAGGCTCCAGGACTTACGCTCAGCTCCACAACAACGCCAACACCATCGCCCACAATCTCGTCACCCACAAGGTCACGCTCCATGACGGGGACCGAGTGCTTCTCCTCTACAACCCCGGCCTGGAATTCATCGAGGCCTTCTTTGGCTGCCTGCGCGCCAATGTAAGTCGTGGAGATCTAGAGGAGAAAGCTTTGTTTGCTTACCTTCGTGTGCTATCTATAGGTGTTGCCGGTGCCCCTCATCCCTCCGGACGTCGCGAGTCGAGGGAGCTCCTCTTCTTCTTCCCATGCGCTGGCCAAAGTGGAGAATGTGGCAGCCGCCTGCGGTGCCAAGGCCATCCTGTCCACAGTCGCCTACCACACCGCCGTGCGCGCGTCAGCAATCCGAGACACTTTGCTGTCGAGGTCCGGCGGGCGACCGTCGTGGCCAAAGCTTCCCTGGATGCACACCGACTTGTGGGTTTCCAAGCAAAACAAAGAGGCCGAGGATTACTTTAGGGGTCGCGGGGAGGCCGAGGAGAGTGAAAGATGCTGCTTCCTCCAGTTCACGTCGGGCTCTACTGGCGATCCCAAGGGCGTCATCATCACCCACTCCGCTCTCATCCACAACGTGAAGCTGATGCGGCGGCGGTACAAGAGCACGTCCAGGACGGTGCTGGTGAGCTGGTTGCCGCAGTACCACGACATGGGTCTCATCGGGGGCCTCTTCACTGCGCTGGTGAGTGGTGGCACCGCCATTCTCTTGTCGCCCACGAACTTCATCCGGAGGCCCTTGTTGTGGCTCGAGGCCATGAGCAAGTACGGGGCAACGCACAGCGCGGCACCCAACTTTGCGTTTGATCTCGTCGTCAACAAGATGAACCAACAACCCGGCATCACGTACCAGCTCTCGTGCCTCAAGTTCCTCATGGTCAGTGCCGAGCCGGTAAGAAGCTCCACGCTCAAGAGATTTCTCAAGACCATGGAAAGCTCGGGGCTCAAGGAAGAGGTTGTTGCTCCTGGTTATGGACTGGCCGAGAACTGTGTGTTCGTCAGCGTTGCATGGGGGCGGGGCAGGCCTTTAGTTGTGGACTGGCAAGGCAAGGTTTGCTGCGGGTATGTGGACAGGGGCAACCCGGACGTGGATGTGAGGATCGTAGATCCAGAGACTGGCGTGGAAGTGGGAGACGGTGTGGAGGGAGAGATTTGGGTGAGAAGTCCGAGCAATGGTGCCGGTTACTGGGGAAACGAGAGGCTCAGTCAGGACACTTTTCATGCAAGGTTAGAAGGCGGTGAAGAAGCTAACAGGTTTCTCAGGACTGGCGACCTGGGAAGGGTGGTCAAAGGCATGCTGTTTGTGACTGGGCGGATCAAGGACTTGATTATCATCAGGGGCCGGAACGTCTACCCGTCCGACATTGAAAAGACCGTGGAAGCATGCTCCGGATCACTCAGGCCTGGATGCTGTGCTGCTTTTGGTGCGCCTGGACGAGCCCTCCACTCCAAAGGGATCAAAGTTTGTGACGAGGACGAAGTTGGGGTGGTGGTGGTTGCAGAAGTGCGAGACGAATCAAAGGTTGATCCCGAGCAGCTCACTGCACACATTTCCTCTATGGTTGCGAGTGAGCATGGCTTGAGTGTCGCTTCGGTGAGGCTCGTCAAGCCGCGAACGATCTCAAAAACTTCATCGGGAAAGATACGGAGGCTTGACTGTTTGAAGCAGTTCACTGAGGACAGGCTGGACAGCATAAGTCCCACGATTGAGAAGACTAAGAAAATTCTAAGACTTCGAAGGTCGAGAACTTTTAGTGGGACTCCTAGCGTGATACCACCGACGCCGCCACCGTCTGCTGCCAGTGTTGCTCGTAGCAAAGCCGGGGTTACTAGCTTCCTGACGGAGATCCTGGCTGAAAAGTTGGGATTATCTCAGGCTCAAGTCCTTTCCACGAAAAGCTTCGCAGATTATGGACTGGATTCGAGCTCTGTCGTGTGGGCCGCTCACAAGCTCTCATCTTTCTTGGGAGTTCACGTTGCTGCTATAGACATCTACACGGCCGGCTGCATCTCAGAGCTTGCCGACTCAGTCGAGAGCCTGGTGCTCACCACTAAGTCCTCTACGTCTTCGCAGCCAGTAGTGCCACCTGCGATACCAGAAACCGATGTCTCGGCTAAGGGGCCGAGCAAGACCGAGATCTCAAACTTCATCTGCCAGATCATCTCCGAACGGACAGGCATCGACTTGTCCAAGCTGTCGCCGTCCCAAAGCTTTGCAAACTACGGCCTTGATTCCGTTGCGGTGGTGTGGGCATCACAGAAGCTATCCAACTTTCTGGGAGTTCACGTTGCGGCCATCGACATCTACACTGCTGGTTGCATATCTGAGCTGTGTGACGTGGTGGACGGTCTCGTCGGCAAGACAGTAGTAACGCAGCAGCAACAGGGCACTGAAATCGATGATAAAGCTAGCTTGTCATCGTGCCGCGGGGGACCTTATACAGATGACGATTTTGAGGGCGAGATCGTGACGGACTCTCAGCTGGAATCCGGCATTCTTCCATCGCTCCAACGCCAAGTGTGCATCACTCTTCTACAGCTCCTGGGCATCATTTACGTGGCATGGACGCTCCTCGTCCCTGCAGCGTTTATCCTGAGGCAGTTCACGTCCCTGGTTGCAGACCGGCCTGTTGTCGCTGCGGTGCTCTGTGCTCCCTTGTGCTGGTTGCTCTACATGGCAGCCACGGCGTTGGCAGCCAGTCTTGGGACGAGCTTCCTGCTTCCGGTGCTTCATCTTCGGACCACAGTCCCGCTATGGTCGCTCAACTTCGTAAGGTGGTGGACATGCTACAGGCTCCAGGATTTCGCATCGGCCAGGATAGTAGCGACTCAGTTGCGGGGAACGGTTTTTGTCAACTGGTGGTACCGTCTGCTGGGAGCACAGATTGGATCCGGAGTTGAGCTGGAGACAACAGATATTACAGACCCTTGGCTTGTGGTGCTGGGTGACGGTGCTGCCATCGGAGAGGGTGCAACCCTGCAGTGCCACGAGGTGAAAGCCGGTGCTGTCCAGTTCAAGCCCATCAGAATAGGACGGAGGTGTTCCATCGGTCCCTACTCTTTCATTGGCCTTGGTGCATCCCTGAGGGCCACGTCGGTGTCTCCACTGGGTAAGGTTGATGGAACCAGCCAGCTTGGAGTTCGTCACCTTGAGGATGATTCTTCCAAAGTTCACCCCTCACGTCGACAGGTGATTGCTTCTTTTCATTTCTTTTGGCTTCTTACCATTTGTCTTTGCAGGACAAGAACAGCACAATGTTGTACACATTGTGTCAAGCAGCCGGGTTGTACGTTGTGAGCCTCGTATCTGCGATCTCCGGGGTGGTCGGATACGTGGTTTTTGTGTGGCTCGTTGACAAGCTCGGTATCCTACCGGCTGGAGCAAGGGAATCACAAACAGGCTATATAGTGTCATCGCTCTTGTCAACGTTCCCTTGGGCCGTGACTGCTGCAATTCCGCTCTCAGTGTTTCAAGACCCGAGCTCGATCGTCGACTACTTGATATACGTTGCTCTTCAGGGGAAGCTGCTGGCGCTCGTGCTGTGCATGGGATGTGCCTATATCGGTTATGGTGCCAGCCTCTGCTGGATGACTTGGCTTCTGAAATGGATACTGGTTGGGAAGCTGGAACGCAAGGGAGAAGTGAGGAAGAACTCGAGCTTTGGATATCGTCTCTGGCTGGTTCGCAGGCTCCTTGCAACGACACATGCGAGATTTACATTCCTGCTCACGGGCACCGAAGCCTTGTGTTTCTACCTGCGGGTGCTAGGTGCCAAGGTTGGAGACCGAGCTTCAGTCCGAGCTATAAACGCGATACTGGACCCAGATTTACTGGACCTGGGAAGTGGATCTCACTTGGGCGACTTTGCAAAAGTCATCACCAGTGACAACGGTTGTTACGCGAGGCTTGACGTCGGGACAGGCTGCGTGGTTGGAGCACAGAGCGTGCTTATGCCTGGCTCCTGCATGGAGGAAAGCTCGTGGCTGGGAGCCTTGTCTGTAGCAACGAGCGGCTTTACACTGAAGCAGGGTGGTGTGTACCTGGGCGTAGAGAATCCAACAATGGTATACAACCATGCCTCGGTAGCTCACGAGCAAGACAGCAGGATTGTGGCCATGGACGCGGAATACAGAAAGACGGTGGCCAACCTCTCGGCTCACATAGGCAAAACGAGCCATTCCGTCAAGTCGAGGTACTTCCACAGGGCTGGGATATGTGGCAAGGGACGCCTCACTGTGCTGGAAGACCTGGACAGCAGCTTTCCCCGCCACGATGTCTTCTCCAAGGGGAAGTCGTATTCGGTTGTTGTGAGGCACAGCAACAGCTTGAGCTCGGACGACGATGCCAGGCCAGATGCCCGCGGTGCTTCGCTGCGAATCCTGAGGCACGACCACAGTTCGCTTCACGAGTCACTTGTGGATCTCACGCTCAAGACGGGCCAGGCTTTCTACGCCAGAAATATTGCCGACTTTGTTACGTGGTTGACGACGAGCAGCAAGCGCAGGGAGGAGATTGTGAAAGACTCCCCGCACAGAGGCGATGCAGTGTGGGACTCTCTACGTCTGGGCAACTCATATGCCGAGCTGCACTACTACTCCAACGTTTCCAGGCTTTTCAAGTCGGCTTCGTCACCCAAGCGAGAATGGTACGTGAGGTTCCGAATGAGGCCACTGGATCCGCAATATGGGGTTGACGAAGGACGGATTGCACGGGAGGGTGTGCTCCCGCCGGACACCGGCGCGCTGCCTCGACGAGACAAAGACGAGCGTTCACCCAGCTATCTGCGAGACGACTTTGCACGGAGGCTTGCGTCCCCGCAAGGCGTGGACTACGTGCTCCAGCTCCAGCTACGCCCAGTTCCCGACAGCCTCGCCGAGAGGGACCTCGCTATCGACTGCACCCGCGCGTGGGACGAGCAAGCTTTCCCTTACGTGGACGTTGCCGCCATACACCTTGACGAGCTTGTCGACCCCGCACTGACAGAGGCGATGAGGTTCAACCCCAGGAACGGTGTGCCGAGCCTGGACATGATCCCGGCAACCAGCTTGCGGGAGTCGGCGTCCATAGACCACGGGAGGTCGGTGGCCTACGACATTGCTCAGTACGTGAGGAACGGAGCAGAGCTGCCCGGTGCATGGAAAGCCCTCCTGAGAGACTCAGACGTGCCTCTCGCCAATGACATTTCCAACGACGGCAACATCGGTTGCCCTGCTCTATCCGGATGCCTTCCGCCCAACGTGGCAGTGCTGCCGGAAACCAACTGCAAGACGGCGACGGCGACTGCCAAAACGAGGCTCAAGTTCGGTTTGATTCGAAGCATGCAGCCACTCTTGCAGCTGTTGGCCCCCGCTACTCTCCTCGGGCTCTCTCAGCTTGCAGCTCTCCTCCCGGCGGCGTTGATCGCGTCTCGAGCACCCCGCAGCGACTGGCTGTTCCTGGCACTCGTCCTGCTCTCGTACATGGTGTCGGCTCTCGTCTTGTCCCTGGGCAGCATCTCAGCGAGGAGGATCCTGGTTGGAGGAAGGAAGGGCGTGCAGGAGAAGAGCAGGAGCGAGCTGTGGGGATTGAGGAGCCTCCAGGACACGGTGTGGCAGTGCGTCAACTCGGTTGCGTGCGGCTACTTCCTCGACCTCACCAGAGGCTCGGCACTCTCTACAGGCTACCTCCGGCAGCTGGGAGCGAGCATCGACACCGCGGGTGTGTACATGGACACACTGTATGCTCTCAATCCGGACCGCCTGAGCGTCAAGACCGGCAGCAGCATTGGGCGAGACGCGCTACTCTTTGGTCACGTGTACGAGGGCGGCGGCGACGTGCATTTTGGCAGCAACGGCGTTGGGGAGTACGCATTCGTGGGCGCCCGCTCGCTTCTCCTCCCGGGATCCAGCTTGGAGGATGGAGCCGAGCTGCGTCCCCTGGGCCTGGCCATGAAGAACGAACTTGTAAAGGCGTTTTAACTTACTGATTAAAGAATGTTTTTTTACCTCGTACGGTGATGGGCACGCCCGTCAGTTGACGGGCACGGAGGGGTCGGCTATGGCGACAGCAAGCATTGGATGGAGGTGGACGGGTAACTTAACTCACAGAGAGTGAGAGCGTGAGTGGGCTTGGGCCGGAGAAATGGCGCTCTCTTCGCCGGGCAGTAACAAGCTGGGAGCTGCTCGTGTCTTGGTGGTGGTGCTCTTTGTGCTAATATCGAGATGTGGCGCCACCGGAGGAGGAGGAGACAATGATGTATCTCACGATGACGAGGATGCACCCAAGCATCTGGGCTGTGACAACAACTTCGAATTGGTAACGTGATCCGCGCTTGCTTGCTTGCAGTGAGGCGTGTTAGAGTTATGGCAGGTGAAGGTGAGGAATTGGATTGACGCGGTGGAATCCAAGGAGTATGTGGGGATCAGTGCCAGGTTTGGAGCTTCCTTCAAGACGCTGGGGCGTGAAGAACACTTCCTGCCCCTGGCTCTGCTGGATTCACCGGATGGCTGTGTCAACACGTCTCAGCGGGCAAGTGGTACCGACGCAGGCCTCAAAGGCAATGTTAATGTTGGTGCGCTGTGGTTTGTGCAGCTGGAAGGCGCTGCTCTGGTCCAGAGGGGTGGCTGCTCCTTCACCACCAAGGCTCGAGTTGCCCAGTCTGCCGGCGCTGTGGCCTTGCTCGTCTTCAACGACAGGGAAGGTAAGGCTTGGAACTCTCACTCGTGCCTGACCATACAAGGTGGTGGTGGTACGTTACAAAACAGAGCTCTACAAGATGGTGTGCTACGACAATGACACATCCTTGGACATCAAAATCCCCACAGCCATTTTGCCCATGTCTGCAGGCAACAGCCTCCAGAGTGCATTGGAGGCCAACAAGAAAGGTGAAACTCTACATGGTTTTCACAACTTTGCAATGTTTTCGTTCCAGTCAGGGTGATTATGGATTCGCCTGGAAGGCCCCTGGTGGATGTTGCCGAAGTATGCCTGTGGCTCATCGCCATGGGCACTATCCTCTGTGCGTCATTCTGGTCTGCCTGGGAGGCAAAAGAGGCTGCTCACGAGCGCTGTAAACGGCTAAAGGTACACAGTGTGCGGGCAAACTAAGTTTTAGAGTTCCCGGTTGGGTGGTGGACGCAGGACGCTCCAGACGCTCCGCTTACTCACACCTCCACGGTGGCCGCGACTCCAGCCGGCAATGGTCTCTATGTCACCGTTACGTCGGCAGTCCTGTTTGCGGTTTTTGCTTCGGTGTTCCTCATCCTCGTCTACTTTTTTATGTCCAAATGGTTCTTAACGCTTCTGGTCGTCATCTTCTGTTTTGGTGGAGTAGAGGTAAACTTGTGTCTTTGTTCTAAAGTTTCGTCATCTTATGTATGCACAGGGGCTACAAACTTGCTTGGTCGCTTTCCTTTCGAGGTGAGTTAGATTCGTGCCTGACATATGCCTTAGCTCAACCATTCCAGGTGGTTTACGCATACAAGCCGAAAGTTTGTGGTCCTTCCCGTCTTTGGTAGCGTCTCAGTTCTCTCAATGCTTGTGTCACCATTCTGCATCACCTTCGCTGTCCTGTGGGCCGTGTACCGGCATGTAAACTTTGCGTGGATTGCTCAAGATATACTAGTGAGTGCAATTGGCATACTGACCCAGTCATGAGTATCTAAGTGAGGCTCTACGTTTTTGCAGGGCATTGCTCTCATTGTCACTGTTCTCCAGATTGTGCACCTTCCAAATATAAAGGTGAGTACTTGTTGCACACACACACACTCTATCTAAGAGCTCTGTGGAACCCTCAGGTGTCGGCAGTCCTTCTGGGATGCGCTTTCTTCTACGACATATTCTGGATTTTTATCTCCCCATTCATTTTCAAACAAAGTGTTATGATAGTGGTATGTATGTGATGCAAATCTTCATGGATTGTTAACCATGCACACAGGTTGCACGGGGTGACAAAACCGCTGGAGAAGGCATACCAATGGTCCTTAAAGTACCTCTGATTTACGACCCCTGGGGAGGATACAGTATCATAGGCTTTGGTGATATACTACTTCCAGGGCTTTTAATATCCTTTGCTCTGAGGTATGGGGAATACAAGAGGTCATTTTTTAACACTCACCATTGCAGGTTCGACACAGTGACTAGAAAAAGCTTGCGAGATGGTTACTTTTTGTGGTCGATAATAGGCTATGGCCTGGGTGAGCATCCATTATACTCTGGCTTTTGTGAACACAATGTCATGTGGAAATTGTACAGGTTTGTTTCTTACGGACGTTGCATTGAACGTGATGCATGGGCATGGACAACCTGCCCTCCTCTACATCGTACCTTGCACTCTGGGTATGGCTTACAAGTTCTAAATTTTGAGAGAGATGGTTTCTCTTTTGTGCCACGCCAGGAACAATCGTTGCTCTAGGGTGGCGAAGAGGCGAGCTGGGATCCTTGTGGTCCAAGGGAGACAGCCTTGAGATGCAGCTGGAAGACGATTGCACAGAAGCATAAACTTAGTGTTGCACTCTTACTGCACTTTATAGTAAGTGCCCGACTTGACATGCTGGAGCTTGCCATCAGCCCCATACTTCCAGGAGATCATCCTCACCTCGTCACCACTCATAACCCAGCTCACCCCAAAAGCATGCTCCTTACCAATGGCTGGCTTGGCCGGAGCGAATGCTGTGAAATTGTAAGGCATGTGAACAAGAGCGTACTCGTTGTCTAGGCCTTGGTTGCCCACTCCTCCAGTGAAACCATTCCACTCGGCCTGCCTTTGGGTCTGCACCAAGCTCGTGGTTAGTATCGTCTCTTTGCCGATGAACTTCCCTTGCGGTGGATCACGGCTCTGCTCCAGTTGCGCCATGGCCCGCGGTTGCTCCCAGACCGTGCCGTGCCATGCGGGAGGAGGCTTGTCATCCGACTCTAATGTTTCTTCCAGCATGAGGGCCGCTCCCAGCTGCTTGTCTTTGTCATATCCCAGTATGACGGGCGCTCTACCATTCTTATCTACACGTACATATCAATGACTTGACAACGTATAGGAAAGAACTCACCTGGGAGCATGAAGTGAACCTCACCAAAGACCACACAGTTGGGATCGTCTGGCTTGAGCTCTAGTTGCAGCCAGCCCAGGTCACCGTTCTCAAACTGTAAGATCCGGAAGTCCTCCTTGTCGCCGTGCCAGATACCATTGGGTAGGCTGTGAGTGGCCTCCTCCATGATCCATGGCCCATACGCCCATGTGTATCCCGGCGTCTTGGCATCATCCTCCACGGGGAACCACTGATTCCGGTGGTAGAGCCGCGTCCGCTCCTCGTTGTCAGCACGCAGCGACCTTATGCACCGATTGGCCTTGTTCACCGCAGGGGACAAGAGTGGCTGCCACATGACCCAAATGCCATGCCAATGCTTCCAGTGATTCACATCGTTCCACACCCACATGTCGTGGGGTGTTAACTGCCGCCTTGATCCTGAAATCTCCTGGCCTTGAGTATCTGGAACGTGCGCCATAGCCAGCACGAATCTGCTATGGCTCGCTACGAAAGACATGCCTTTATCTCGTTTTGACCAAGTGACTCTTTATTTTGTCGATTGATATAAACCGTTGTCTTAGGAGGACAGCGACTTGACATAGATCTGTGGCTCCAAGCGTGGCGAAGGAACCAACTTGAGAGGCACTGCCTTGGGCACGGTGAGCCCAAACGACTCGGACATGTCGAGGTCGTCGATTGTCTGGCCGCTGGGAAGGCGCCAGTTGAACCCATGCAACACGCTGCCCAGAATGAACTGGACCGTGGCCATTGCAAGCATGAGCCCGGGGCATATTCTCCGGCCCGAGCCAAACGGAAGGTACTCAAAGTGTCTTCCTTTGAGATCGATGTTGCTGCCCATGAAGCGATCTGGATCAAAATTGAGAGGATCCTCCCAGTTGTCTTCGTCCCTGGCGATGGCGTAGATGTTGACCACTGTCCGTGTGCGTGCTGGGACGGTGTAGCCTCCTATTTCGCACTCTTCGGTTGACTCGTGCGGAATGAGCAGCGGCCCTGGGGGATGCAGGCGCATTGTTTCCTTGACAATCGCCTGCAGGAAAGGCAGGTTGGGAATGTCCGATTCTTCCAGGCTTCGATCCTCTCCTACCACCTCCTTGAGCTCCCTCTGGGCTCTTTCCATGAGCCGTGGGTTCTTGATCAGCTCGGCTAATGCCCAAACAACTGACACAGCGGAGCTCTCGGTCCCTCCACCCACCATGTCCTGTACACAAACACATATTCATGTCAACGCCAGTCAACCCAAGTCAGCGGCACTTACCACAATCAGTGCTTTGATAGAGGTGTCACTGATATGGCTGTTAGACAAGAGAACATCCACAAAGTCCCGTGGGGCTTGGCCAGGATCCCGCCGCTGACGGTGCGATTCAACCTCCTTCTGGATGAACTGGTCCAGATCCCGCTGCAACTGCTTGATCTTGTTGACTTGCGTATCCATCCAGTCGGGGATTGGTAGGTAGTCGCCTGCATGGAAGCCAGCCATAATGGCAGCCTCGTCGAGGGTCTCCTTGAAAAACATGGTCTCTTTCTTCTCGGCCTCACTGAGAGCGCTAGCCGAGTAGCTCTTACCCAACACCATTGTTGAGATGACATTGAAGGTGAGATCCGACAGCTTGCTGCTCAGATCCACCGCAGACCCCTCTCGCGATGCCTTGAGCAGCTCGTTCATGAAGAGCGACACCTCGAACTTGCGGATAGGGTGGAACGATTCCACACGCTTGGTGGTGAGAACCTCGTACATGCACACCTTCCGTGTGCTCTTCCAGTTTTCTCCGTTTGCAAATGCCAGGCCAGCTCCACCGTAGCCGATTGTCTCGCTGAAGGTCGTCTTGGGGCGCGAACCAAAAATATGGTCCTGGGTGTTGAGAACTTCCTTGGCACTATCGGATGAGGAAACGACCAGGGTGTTCACTTTACCAAGCTTGAGGAACATGACATCTCCATATTGCTGGGCGAGCTTGAGGAGGGATTGATGCGGTAGCTTACCCAAGAGATGCAGATGTCCAATGAATGGGAGCCCAGTTGGAGAAGGAGGCAGCTGGGGCGGCAGCTGTGGCTTGGTGCAGACTTGCTCCATGACCATGATTAAATGGCTCTCTTCTGGTGGATGGATCTAGAGCTCTCTGTTTTGATCAGAGCACGATTGTAGGTATTATATAAGCAAGATTCCAAGGCCTGTTTGACGAATTGGCAACATATGTTCAACTCAAACTTGGTCAGTACTTCCCATTCATTTCGACCTGTTTGTTATCCGAAGACGGCAACGTCTTTGATATTGTCTTAGTTACAAATCTCAATATAAGTATACTGAGTGTAGATTTTTTGACAACTACTCTTCTACACACTTGGTCACAAGAGGGCTGTAATATATTACAGAGTGACAACAATCTTTCCAGTGGCATGGCCTTCCATGCACTTGAACCAGGCAGCTGTAACGTTGGAAATCGGATGGACCGAGTCAATGATTGTTTTTAACTTGCCCTTCTGCATCATGTCCACGAGAGCTTCTATACCCGATGTGTGAGGGGTCAAATACAAAGGGACCAAGGAACCGATTGCCTCTTGGCTCGTGATCAACTTCACTGCCTTGTCAAATTTGCGTTTGAGGCTGCTTGTGGTAGATTCGCTAGCCGGGGTGATGTCCACAACAATCCCCTTGCGAGTAAGAACATGCTCAAAGGTGGACCAGGGCGGTCGATGGTAAGCGCAGTGGATAATGACATCAAACTTGGAGCAAGAGGAGCTCTGGAGTTTGGCCCCTTGAGGTGTTTTGTAGTCGAGAACCTCATCAGCACCTAAGCTTTTGATGAGGTCAATGTTGCGGCTCCCGCATGTAGCCACCACATGAGCACCAGTGAGCTTTGCGAGCTGTTCAATTTGTACAGAACTCAATCCTAGTAAACCATACGGTTATCTGAATTGAAGTACGCACCTGCACCGCATATGTTCCCACTCCCCCTGAAGCTGCAGTGACAAGAATGGTGCCCTGAAAGTCTTTGCTTGGTATTGCTATGCCCGCGGCCTCTTGCAAGCTGTACAAGGCTGTAAGACCAGCGATTGGAAGGCCAGCTGCCTCAATCGGCGAGATTTGAGATGGAATTCTTGTGGTAAACCGCACCTCTGCAGAAGCATATTTGGCAAGGCCACCTCCTCTCTAGTTGTGCAATTATCATTTGGACCGATTGCTTTTAAGCACAAACACCAGGTTAACAAGAAAGATTTACCTTGTGGTCTAGATAGCTGACAACCTTGTCTCCAACACTGAAACCAGTTACACCAGGACCAAGGCTTACAACCTCGCCACTGATATCTGAACCTGGGAATTGATGTGTGGGTGTATCATCGAGCACTCTGGGCAACTGCGCTTACATGGTATATAGGGGAATTGGGCTGGAATGTTGAGGGTCTTATACTTTCCTTGCTGGATTTTCCAGTCCACTGGGTTGAGGCTTGCAGCTTGGACCTTTACAAGTAACTCTCCAGGTCCCGGCGAGGGAACTGGTGCATGTCCTTTCTAGACAAATTCCCAAGGGCAGAAGTGATGATTTTGAAAGGATTACAGATCTTGATACCTCCAGATCTCCTCCAAACTTGACATATTGTATGACCGGCATCGATCCTTGCATCTCCATACTCGATACTTATCTTCTCCTATATGTCACACGTTTACCTAGGGCTACTTGTTTTTAGAAGATGGAGGAGCAGCACAGCACATCCCACTACGCGGCGCTTTTGAGCACGCTTGCCCAGGACCCTCTCCTGCTGCCGGATGTGCCACACAACCCGGACCTTGCGACCGTGGACGCGCTCGTCAGCGCGGAGCTGGGGAATGCAATGCGCCTGTCAGTGGTTAGAATGGACGCCTCCTCCTTTGGTACGTCAATTGCTACAAGCCAATATGACGATTTGTGGTGGTCAGATGTGCTTGCCCCACCCACTGCGACTGTGCGAAGTTTGAAGGCTGCAATCACCAAGAGAATCAACGAGCTGGAGGAACAAGAGCTGGGGCACCGGCATTTCTCGTGGTACGCAGTTTTCTCTTCTTTTGTGATCGGGATTGGAGCGATGGCTGGCTGACCTTCCAGGAGGCATGTGTGGGGGAGCTTCTGCCTTTGCCATGGGAATGTCAAACTCGTGGGCGATTCGACCGTCTTGAGGGATGTGGGTGTCAGGGACCGTGACCAGGTAAAGTGAAAAAGAGAGAGTGTACAGCTGAGAGAATTCCCTGATCAGATCCGGTTCGAAGCTCACGTCACGTCCAGGGAAGCTGGTCTCCATTCCCGTGCAAAGAGGCGACGCGTTTGGCGATAGAGAGACGCTGTTGACCATTTCCTTGCTAGCCAGGCCTAGATCGCTGGGCTTGCCCTAATGAAACACATCGGAACTCTCGAGGTCGAGGTAGGTCTCCGAAGATGGTGCGTGCGAGCATCGTCTACACCTTGTTGGTGCTGGGTTTCCTGTCCTTGTTCATCTTCTCCAAGAAAGATCCCCGCAGGCACGGCCTAGGTCGCCGGCTCATCGTTCGCAGCACACTGGCCTCCAAGGCCAATGCCAGTCACCACGAGAGCGTGGCGTTCGATCCGGTGGTTGCGCGGCTCGAGTGGCTGAGGGAGAACAGGGATTGGGAACGGGACCACTTCCAGGAGCTGTACAAGTCGTGGAATGAGACGGGGGCGACGCACGATGGTCAGCATCATGCCCAGGGTCACGAAGAGCAGCCCAGCCACTGGGATGGCCATGAGGGTGACGAAGACGACTACCTCAACGACGAGCACCAGTTTAACATCTCACACCGGCTGGAGCTCCTTTTCCCTCTCTTGGACACGGATCCCAGGGACAACGTGGTGAGCCTGGGCGAGCTGCAGGACTGGCACGTCCAGCAGGCTCGCAAGCTGAGCAAGCAGCGCACCGACAGGGAGTTTGAGATGCGCGACAGGAACAAGGACGGCCTCGTATCTCTGCTCGACTATCTCCCTCACCTGTCCGCCGAGGCCCTCGGTAAGCCCCTCTGTGCTAATTTTACTAGCTCTAAGGAACCTCCCGTCCGCTCCAGTGAACGCTAGCACCGATCATGGCGAGCCAGGCTGGTGGAAGGAACACTTCGACATGGCTGACGCCAACGGCGACGGCTTCCTCAACCACACGGAGTTTAACGAGTATGCTTCTCGTGCATCTTTAACAGCCTCTTTGTGTGTCATGTTATAACAAAACCATCTTGGCAGCTTCTTGCACCCAGAAGACAGCCGTAATCCCAAGCTGCACCACTGGTTGCGCCGCGAGCAGATACGGTGGGTGCGCCTCCATTCCCCTGCGGGCCTGCTTCTTCTTACTTTGTTGCGTGCGTCTTTCTGGTGTCAGGGAGAGTGACCACGACAAGGATGGGAAGCTGAGCCTGGATGAGTTTGATCATGTGTACGACGTCCTCAGGTATTACGGGGAGGACCTCAGCCATCTACACCAGGGACACGATGTTACTGACAGACGCGACAAGTTTAAGGAGCTGGACAGGAACATGGACGGGTAACAAGCAGCTACTGTAGCTACATCATCTTGTTTTTTGATCGCCCTGATGCAGGTTCCTCACGGAAGACGAGCTGGAGCCAATAATGGGGAAGCTTCATCCAGGAGAAAGCTTTTACGCCCGGCAGCAAGCTGAGTACTTGGTACAGCAGGTGTGTGGGCTTGTTGTGCTGGGAATTGGTGCAGAACGTAATGCTATTGCATGCTGTGTCCAGGCAGACGAGAACAAGGACGGGGTGCTGACTTTGCATGAGATGCTAGAACATCCTTACGTCTTCTACAGCACAGCCTTCACGCCACAGGATTCCCATGAAGAGTATCAAGACCATGACGAGTTCCGCTAACAGGCTAGCATAGGATGGTTATGCAAGAAAAACTAATTACAGTCGACTAAAAAATGGTGATGGAGGCGATGCTTGCTTGATTCTCCTGGCCAGACCGATGCTCAAAAGGCAAAGTTTTTAATGGCATCCAGAAAATCTTCCAAGAAGCACTTCATCCAGGATTTTAACTTCCATGACCACCATCCTGCTGGTGTGCTTTTTCCTAGATGCAGCAAAGATGTTTCTTTCTCAAGGAGGGAAAGGGCGACTTGGATGGAAGCAGCTCACCTGAGATCTTTTGGTGGTGCCAAGAGTGGCTGGGAGGGAGGGGAAAGTTAGGGGTAGGGGCCCAAAACAGCAGAGCACTCAAAGAGTGGATGAGTGGCTCATGGTAGGAGACTTGGTAGGAGATTTCAACATGGTTGAGGATTTGAGTGACCATTGAGGTTCACTGAAAACCATTCAGGGGTGAGAGTGGAAGAGTTGGACAGTGCTAGTGGAAGCTTTGGGAATCCTAAACTTCCAGCATGCTGCTCATTCCCATCCATTCACAAGATGGCAATTAACGAGGTGCTAAGCACACTTGGACAGGATTTACGCCTCCACTAGGCTGACAAGATGGTGGGGGGCCCAAAACATAACCTGCATTTGCCACCTTTTCGGACCACGACCCACTCTGAGACGTCCTTAAACTATAAGCCGAGAAGGGAATGGTGGTGCAATGGAGGATTACCAAAGCTAGATTGGCTAACTAGGTAGTGTTAAAGCTTGTCTAGGAATCACTGGACAAATGTAAAGGGGAACTTATTTTGGCATTGAGTATTTGCTCCACTAAACTTTGGGAAAGGTAGGTAGCACTCAAAGGGGAAGTCCTGAAGGAGGTGAGGCTAGTGAGATAAAAGGTGGCAACAGCCCAAAGAATGGTATTGAGTGCAAATGATGTGGATAGATGGACAACAACACTAGATGAGAGGGAACGTGAGCTGCAGGACAAAGAATATGCAGCATGGAGTTCTAGACTATGCACCATGGAGGACAGTTGGGTGATGAATGAGAGGCTCCTTAATAAAGCCTTCTACAAGGGGATCTGTCCAATCATTGACTCTCCCCCAATCTTGGGATTGAGGAAGGATGATGGAAAAGTAATAGAGGACCAACAAGGGATGCAATGGTTGGCACAAGAGTTCTACCAAAGGCTGTATGTGGCCCAGGACAGGAGAGATGCGGCAAGTAGGGTGCTGTCCTCTCTCCCATGCAGAGTTCCCAACAAGTACCTGGAGATGCTGGTGGCAGATTTTTCATTGGAAGACCTCCACCAGGCCCTAGAATAGCTGAATGACGATAAGATGCCAGCCTCCTCCCGGTGTTTTATGAGGAGTATTGGGACGAGATAGGCCCAATGCTCATAGAGACATGGTGGGGCACACAGTGAATGGGGGTGTTGCCTAGAGAGGTACTAGAGGGATAAATTGCACTGATCCCGAAACATGGAGACTTCCAGGAACTCAGGAATTGGCACCCCATAACCATGCTTAACACATTGTACAAGATATATGCAAAACCAATGGCGCTCAAGCTGCAGCCAGTCATGCCTCTCATGATCAGAGAACAGCAGACAAGATTTGTGCTGGGAAGACAGATTGTGGAAAACATCTGGATGTACCTTCTTGCACAATGGTGGGCAAATGTTTCAAACTAGCAAATTGTGGCATGGCTGCTAGACTTCGAGAAAGCATATGATTGAGTAGACTGGGACTTCCTGGAGGACTGCATATGGAGGATAGGGATCCTGGCAATGACTGTATTGAGCATCTCACTACTGTACATGGGAGCATCAAGTTAGGTCATATTAAATGGAGAGTCTAGTTCAACCTTCCATTTGGGACACTTAGTGAGATAGGGACACCCCCTACTTGTTTCTGATTCTTGCAGAGACGCTGGGCTCTTTCCTGGCATATGGAGGAGATATCAAGGGACTGGTTTTACCCACTGAACAGCTATAGCTTTTGGGAACATAAGACATGACATGGGAGCTGCAGGATGGGGCATTTGCAGACGACACTGTGTTATTCCTGCTTGCCACATGGGGAATCTCAATGCAGCGAAGTCCAAACTGGAGATTTTCAACATGGCGGCAGGAGCTGCTATCAACTAGAATAAGTTAGTTGGGGTGAATTGGGGAAAGCCAGGCATCGAAGCTTGGGGACAGGAGTTCAGTTTCTAGTGGCTTCGGTAGGGTGAAGACACCTGCTACCTGGGCATCCAGGTAAGGATCCAGTACAATGTAGCTGCATAGGACTATATGCTACTTAGGAGGATTAGGACTGCAGTTCAGAAATGGGCCCCAAGGAAACTTGGGCTCTCCTAGCGAGAATCATAGTAGTCAAGAGTGTGATCCTCCCCAGCATCTGGTATCACCTCTCGATTTGGCTGGTGCGAGAGACCACACTATAGAAGGTGAGATAGATGGTGAGAATCTACGTATGATGGGGAACCTTGGCCTTAGAGTGGACCATGGCCAAGGTGGCATGGCAATCCATAGCACGGCCATGGATCCTAGGGGGCTCGGGATCATTGACCCCAGTGACATGGCAAAGACGCTGAGATATAAGATCATTCTCATGGGCCTGCAACCGGGGAGGCAGCCATGGTGACTAATGTTTTGACAAAGTCTCCTAGTGATATGCCCTAAGGACAACACAGCCAAAACTTGGAAGGAAGACCCTCAGTAGCTCTTTGCAAATGGGCTGACATAGGTAGTGAAAGGGGACAACATCATCTAGAGTATACACAGATTGTGGAGAGCTTTTCCATTGGAGCACATGCTGCCAAGTAGAGTCAAGGAGTGGCTTAACCAGCCCCTATTCTTCAACACATTGTTCCAAATGGGAGATGTTACCCTAGGGCAGGAGGCACATCACACAATCTGGAGAAAAATGCATTTGAATGGTTTTTGGACCATGAAGCAACTAACTGGATTGATCGACAGGGATTGGTGGCAAATAAAGAAGAGGACATAAGTGTTCAGACTGTAGAAGTGGCATAACATCCTATTGGACATTCTACAACTCCTTTGAGTCATGAATAGTGCTAAGGAGAGACGACATGGTCGAGGAGATGCCTCAAAGTAGGAGACTTTGTGGAAATCCAATGGCAAATAGAGTGGGAAGAGCAGGGGATATAGACCCGAGGGGTCACAGCACCTACATCAGCTTGGGAGGTTGAGGTGTGGTTCATTGCTTCACCAGAGCACAACACAAGACAACCCTTTCACACCACCAGAGGAGATACACTGCTCCCAATATGTGAGATGCAAGTGATGTTGGACGTCACTAATGATGAGGTACGTGGGAGGATTCGAGTTCTTAGGCAGGAGCCTAGGTAGGTTTTGAGCTCATGAGCTCACCGCTTCTCAAACACAAGGAAAACATTGGTTCGTCCCGAACTAACATCTTTTCATTTTTCAAATTTTTATTTAATCTATATTTCCAAGTAAATTTGACCAATAAAATACAAATATAAATCCGAACACTAAAAGCAATCTAAAAAAACTTCTTAAGCTTTACAATTGTAAGGCTAGCCTGGTGGATGTGATGGTTGATCTTAGGATCTTGGTTTAGTTCTTGCATCAAAATGTAAGAGATGTGCTTGCAGGCTAAATATACCTTTCCCCTATTTTCCCTTTGTATAAAATCTGGATAAGTACAGGATGGATTTTTACAGATTTTGACAGTGTAGCTTGTACCCTTTGACGACTCAATCATAACAACAAACTCCTTAGCCACAGCACTGATGTAGTTTGTCTTTATGATTGTGCACTTCAACTCTTTTTCTAGCTTGATCTTCTCTTGTGCACCTTTTGAAATGGAAGACCTGTATAGTATAGCCTTTCCATTCCTAGCTGGTCGTGTATGCCGGTCTAGTGTTGATATTGGTGGCATAGTAATATTAACAACAACATTTGAAGAAGTCTTTAGCTTGAAACCTACTCTCTCCAGACTTTCAATCTCTTCTTTCAAAAGATTGCAGCTTCGCTCAACTAGCCACTCCTTTGGCACAGAATCTGGCTTCAAAATAATTGAGCTATGGATCCGGCTTGTATGAGTAACATCAGTCCCACAACAATAAATCTAGCTTGACTTCAGCAGCCCTTCACCCCTAGATCTCGACAGCCCCAGAAACATGGCACTGCTAAAGAACTTGAATCTGAGGGCACAAATGCGAGACACTAACCTTGACTCCCAATCATTCCGGAGCAATGTGCATTGCTCTTGGCACTGACTTTTTGAATTGCCCAGTTGATACAAGAAATTGGCTCACGAGAAATAACCTTTTCAACCTCTAGCACTAGACTTGTGTAATAACTGACACCTCTTCCACTCCATGTTCCTTAGTTCTTTTCCGGTGTCGTGGAACAGAATGGTAGTCAAACTCTAGACAATGAGAGTTAGAAGGAGTGATGTTTGGCCCATCAAATGTCTGTTGACGCTTTATATGAGCTATTCTCATGTCCCTAAGTGGTTCATAACTTGATTTCATAAGAGTTTCAGCAATAACTTCCTCCACCATCTTAGATATTGACCCTACTGCTAGTGTTGTCCTTCTATTAACCTACTCTCGAAGCCTATTTAAGTTTGGATCTGTACTAGCAAACTTTGCTTCCTGTGCAGCCAAAGCTTTTGATGATTGCTCAAGAGATCTAATGAGGTCGGAGAGCGTAGCTTTATAGAGGGACATTTTTTCTTTCTTTCAGCAAGAGACTCATGTTTACATATGGGTGGCTGAGCAAGAGCTTCCTGAAATCTCTACAAGTCGATGCCACTCCTGGGCTGGAGGCGGCGGTGGCGGCAGCGGCAGTAGTGCTGAGAGGATTGAAGCTGCTCAATTCGAACGGCGGTGGCGCCGATGATGCCAAGATCATCACAGCATTTGCGCTGGTCGCCAGGGAGGACTGACATCTCATCAATTGGCCCGAAAGACCCAATGCACTCCTCATCACGATATATAGTAACTGGCAAACAATCCTTCCTCCGATCGATCGATCGATCGATGAACCGGGAACCAAATTTGAAGAGCCCGGGAGATTGTTAGGGATTTCAAATCAAAGCCTTTTGCCACGTAGGTGTCGCCAAGATTTTTAACCCCCTTTTGCTTAACTTTTATTTAAAAGGCAGTGAATAGTGTATACGTTTGGATTAAAGCGAAGGGTTTTTTCCACTAGTGGTGAGATGACAAGCAAAGATTTTTCTGGACTGTTGGTTCTTGCAGACGCTGCAGCCTTG